TTTTTTTTTTTTTTTTTTTTTTTTTTTGGCGTGTTTTCCCATTTTGGGTTAAAACAAATCAACAGCCGATCACTTCCATGAGCACCAGCTGTTTTTTTTTTATCAGCTTGTTGCTATTGAAAATGATGGCTCTTACACCCCAGGGCCCTTTCTTAGCCTTGATGGAGCCAGCTATCTTTTCTGAGCCCCTTGGCTGTTTATACCTCTGCTGAAAGTATGGCTACTATCTGTCAATGTGGTCGCTATCACCAGCATAGCCCCAACTCTGAAGTCTGGCTTGAGGGAGAGTGGAGGGGGGGATCGATGTTTATGATTCTAACTTTTACGCTTCCCCTCAAACCCCTTCCATTTTTGAGACTCCATAGACAGACTGATAATGGAACAAAGCTCCGGTTTTAGTCGGCTATGTATGTCACATGTCCTGCCACTCTCCTCCCTGCTCCGATGTGAATCATAYGCATCAGAATAACTGGAGCACACGGTCACTCTGGCCCTTGGCTCTGCCTCTCCAGCGCCAGCTCCCAATCCAAAGCCTGCCCACGGAGAGGCGAGACGAGAGGGAGAAGACTTTGCCGAGATCTTCTCTTCCTCTCTCGCCCGGAGCTCGAGGAGCTGCGCCGTTGCCCTCCCTGTCTCAGGATGTTTACTCTTAATTGAGTTGCTCACTCATTCGCTGGCCCCCGAGGGGACACCTCTGTGTCACTTCCTATGATTAACCTAAATTTCATCCATCGTACAGGACTGCTGCCAGATCTGGTAAGGGCACAAATTATGTGTTGAGACATGAACAATAAAAAGAGCAAGGGCAGGGAAAGGAAATGGGGAAGCAGAAAGGGACGTGGTGCAAACTTGATAGCTGAGGCATAATAAACCCACCAACTGATACTCACATTAGCCAACATGCATTAAAGTGCCTGTGACATCAACATTTTTTTTAATAATACAAATTCATTTTTTGGAAAGATAACATTGAGAACATATTACAAAATAATTTTCATGCTGCTGAGATGAACGGTTGTTGAGATATTTGCATGTTAATTAACAGGAAGTTATGTCAAAGGTGAATGTCTGCATGAAAACAGAGCTAAGCTAAAATGCTCAACAGCCCAGACTGTGGAGAGGAATTGGATGTTTTGAAATTATTTTGAGTCGCCATCAGACAGAAACAAAGAAAAAAAGACAGAGTTCAAATCAGAATGTTTCAATAAACAAAGACCAGTGAGTTCCTTTCCTAAAAAGAGTTTCCTGTTTGAT